CCAGGATGAAGCAAAATCAGCTCTGGTTTGTAGTTTCTGCAGGGAGGGGGTCATCTTAAAGCTTTCCTTGGTGGACAGTCCCCTGCGGGAACTTAGCAGTACTACCTTGGAGTGTACCTGACTTCCTTTTGCCTTCAGTGTCCAAAGTCCGGTTTGTTTTGAATCCAACAATCAGAAAGCAGAGGATCCTGAGTCCATTTGTGAGGGCAGGCATTTGATAATCAAAGAAATGTGACATCTGCCTGACAGGAAGTTGACAATGGAGGAGCAGACAATCCAGCAGTTGACTGGAGAGCCCTTCATTCAAGGGCAGGGCCAGCTCCTCCACCCTAATGTGGACCATGCTAACCCTGAGGTAAAGCCTCTCTGCTGGTCACATGTCCTTCCTTTGCTGCAGACCGTGGACTGTGGACCCATTTGAATAAAGTGCCTTCTGTCCGAGAACGGGATGCAGGGATAGAGACCTAAGGACCAGATCAAGGTTCAGATAGCAGAGTGCTGTCCATGATGACTTAGTTAAGATAGCATCTGCTGAATATCTGGGAACAGCAAGTAATCAATAACCATGTTATGAAAGGAAGTTATGAAACTAGTTCTGAAAATAAGTCACTTTTGGTCTATATAAATGTCCTCGGGGTGAAGGCGTGTGCTCCTGTCCAGAATGGACAAAGTTTGCCGCTACATCTGCCCTTGGGTCTGAGCTGCTCCTCTAATTCCCCACCTCCACAACCCTCCATCTCTAGACTCATGGTGTTCATTTCCCTTTGGTGTTTTTTTTCCCCCTATATATTGGTATTTTATTCCCCTTTTGGCCAAGCCATTTGCCATTGCATGAATTTTTAACATAACTTTTAATTGATTTCTTTGGGAATTTCACATCTTGTACTCCAACCCCACTCATGTCCCAGTCCCTCCAGATCCTCCCCTCACTCCCATAGCATCTTTCCAAAGGAAAATTTAAAAAATATCACTTAAAAACAGAACAAACAAAAAAACCCCCTCCACTCCTCCATCTTTCTCGCTTCTCGACACCTCTTCATTCCTCTTGGTGGCACTGGGAGCTGCAGAGTGTCACACAGTAGACGCCTTTGTCTACGGTAGTCTGGTTCAAGGCTTCTGGCTTCTGGCACACCATCCTCACTGGATCCTCACCAAAACTCACCCTGGATATCCTGCTCTCTAAATTAGGGTTGCTATGAAGAGACACCATGACCACAGCAACTCTTATAAAGGAAAACATTTAATTGGAGCTGGCTTACAGTTTCAGAGGTTCAGTCCATCATCATCATGATGGTGAGCATGGAGGCAGGCAGGCAGACGTGGTGTTGGCTACATCCTGACCAGAAGGCAGAAAGGAATGGACTGAGAGTCACACTGAGGGAAGCTTGAGCAATAGAGACCTCAAAACCTGCTCCTACAGTGGCACACTTCCTCCAACAAGGCCACATCTCCAAAAACTGCCATTCCCTTTAGAGGCCATTTTCTTTCAAACTACCACACCTGCCCCTAGTCGTGGAGATTCCAGGCTCTGGTTCCACAGGACCAGTCAGTCCCTTCATGCATTCTAGCAGGTCATAGATGGGGTAGATGCTGGAGTAGCCAACTCCAAGTACTGGATGTGGGTCTGAGTGGGTCTAGTCGGTCAGTCTGGGCCCCTGGGGATTCCCTCTCAGGCAAGAGGCAGAGCTAGCTCTTCAACACTCTCGGTTAGGAATGGGGCCAGCTCTGCGGGGTGTGCGGCCAGCTCTCCCATGAGGGGTGGGGCCAGTTCTTTTGCTGCAGTGACCAGTGGAGGGCAGGCCCAGCTCTCCCAGAGCAGGCATAGTATGCTGCTGGCTCAGCATGGCCCCAAGATTTTAACACACATGGCTTCCTATGATCCCCTGTAGTATTTTGGATCACAGAGCTCAACACAGACCCCAACTGCAAAAGGACCATGGACCCAGATATGGTTCTTGCTAGCAGTTTGGGCCTGGATGTCACCATGGTCCCAAGGGCACTGTAGGCCATCCAGGTCAGTATGACTCCAGGGGCAGTAAGATCCTAGGACACCAACATGATCTCAGATGGCTGACCAGACTCCAGGCATCTGCATGATCCTTGGTGGTAACTGGAACCATGGATATGAAATCAGACCCTGACTGCAACAGGGCCACAGACACAGACATGGCCCCGGGCAGCCACCTGGGCCTAGTTGACACCATGACCCCAGGAGGCAGCACAGGACACTAAGCTCTGCATGGCCCCAGCTGCTCATGACCCTCAGACACCAACATGTCCACAGTCAGCGGCCCAGATCCCGAGCATCTGTGGAATCTTTGGTGGGAACATGGGTTGTATCAATGCAGACTCCAAATGCAGTAGGGCCACGGATCCAAACATTGCCCTTGGCAGCAGTCTGGGCTCAAACAACACCATGGCCTCACGTGGCAGCACAGGCCACTCAGATTACCTTGGCCCCAGTGACAGCATAGCTTTTGGACACCCACATAGACTCATATAGGTGTCCAGGCCCCAGGCATCCATGTCAGGGGTCACCGAAGCCATGCAAATCAACACAGACCATGGCTGAGGTAGGACCACGAACACAGATATGGCCCTCGGTGGCAGCCTGGTCCTGAACGTCACCATGGCCCCTGGTGGCAGCACAGATTACTCACATCAGTATGGCGCAGCTGCAGCATGGCCTAGGGCGGCAGGTCAGACTCCAGGTATCTGCATGGCCTCTGTTGGTGACAGGAGCAACGGATATCAACATAGACCCTGTCTGTGGTAGGGCCTTGAACTCAGACACGACCCTTAGGTGCAGCTCAGGGCACCTGGTGGCACCGCAGGCCGTTTAGGTCCACTTGGCCTCTGCAGCGGCACAGCCCTTGGACACCAATACAGCTACAGGTGACAGCCCAGACCCTGCTAGAGTAGGACCACAGACCTGGACGTGGCCCCCAGCGTGGCCCTGGCCTGAACGCCGCCATGACCCTGGGTGGTGAGTCGGCCACCCACATCAGCCTGTTCCTCACCACCTTTCCTCTTTAGCTCTGCCTCTCTCTACAGCACATGGACCACTCTGCTTCTCTGTCTCTTCCGTTTCTCCACCACACATTTGCTGATCATAATGGTGTCTGCCTGCCTGGGGCTATAAGGCAGCACACAGGCCTGTAGATGTCCTCCAGCCAGCCTGGGCTGTGAGGACTCAGGTGAGCCTGTGGCTGTCTTTACCCTTCTTGGACCGTGAGTTCCATTGTATGAATATTTCTATTTATTCAACTGAACATCAGGATTTGTTTTTATTATTTTATGTGTATGGGGATACGTCTCTGTCTACTCGTATGCGCAGGGGCCTGTGGATTCCCGAAGAGGAAGTGTAAGCGCCTCATCAAAGAAACAGCTCTTTGCAACTGACGGACACCATTATAGAAAACCACAATCAGAGTTGTTGTAAGTTGGGGGCTTAGAAAACACTCCTGTTCCTAAAGCTCGGGAACACTGTGCAAGAGTTGGCAGAAAGACTGTAGGAGCCAGAGGGGCAAGGGTTTGCTGTGAGACTGTGCTCCTGGTGATGTCAGAAGCTACATCCATAGAGCCTCACCAATGCGGCTGCCTAAAAATGACCTCAGCAAGGACAACCCCAACAGACATGCTAAAGAGGACAGGGTAAAACATATAAGGCCTAAACCCTACACAGAGAGCTACAGACAACTAAGGAATGTTGAGAGCAGAAGAAAAAAATCTTCACCAGGGTTATCACATCAACTGGTTATCCAGTACCAAATAGTCCGCCCTGGAAACATACATACAAGTCATAGTATACAGACAGGCAATTATATTTGTAATATATATGTACATACATATACACATACGTATATAATAACAATTAATGAAAAAAAAGACCATAAATTTGAAAGTGAGCTAGAGGGATATATGAGAGGGTTTGGGGGGAGGATAGGGAAGGAGGAAATGATGCAACTATAATCTCAAAAATAAAAGAAACAATTGGAAAAATAAAAAATCAAATGAAAACATAACTGAAATAATGGAAGAAAACATCTGGAAATCACATATCGACTTAGGGACTAATACTCAGACTATAGACTCTAGTGGTTCTTAGAACAAAAAGAACAACAGGATTCCCTGGTGGGTCTTTTTGAAACAGAGAACCCTCTGCCCTATCCCCAGAGCTTCTGATTTAGTAGCTCTGGAATGGAACCCAAACTATGCATCTCCAGCGAGCTCCCAGCTGACACCAGTGCTCCTGGCCTGGGACCACGCCTGGAGAGCACTCCCAGGCTGAGCCACTGGAGAGGTGGAGAAGCAAGAGTCGGAGAGAAAAGGAAACAGCAAGGAATCTGAAGTGGCAGAGTCAAGAGAGGAGACAATGAGAGGGGTCCCAGTTCTGAGGACTGCCAGGTAAGGTCTTCCAGTAGTCAGGTATCCCGTTCAGCCAGCTGAGCCACTGCCGACTTCAGGATATAAATGCCACAAAATGCCAACAAGTTGTACAAGCTGTTAACTCCAAAGCTGAGTTATACGGTCTCAAGAGAATGACAAACCACCTCAGTTGATTAAGAATGAAGGGTATTTGGCATTCTCTCCAAATTCATATGTTGAAAGTCTATAGCTCTGAGATGGTATAGAGGCCGTGGGGTCTTTGGGCAGTAACTAGGTTTAGGCTAGGTTGCAAGGATGAGATTAATACTCTCACAGGAAGAGACAGTCAAAGAAACTCACCCAGGAAAAGCAAGACAGCGCATGGAGGGAAAGAAGTTATCTACAAACTAAAACGTCGCCAAATGTGCTGGTTCCTTGATATTGGACTTCTCAGCTTCCAGAATGAAGAGCGTTAAATGGTTAAGTCGCTTGACCAATAGCGTCCTGTTGTAGCAGTCCAAGATGGCTAACATGGAGTATTTCCCAGGGCACACAGTGTGAGTGGTAAAATACACATGGAACAATCTGATTACTCAAATCCCAGGTTTTTGTCTCCAATAAAGACAATGCAGTTATGGCATAATGTTTATTTAAATAGTAATCTTAAAAAGGCTTTATACAAATAATATAAACACAGTTTGACATTGTTTATTTTTTACATTGTAGAATCACAGTAAAATCTCTCGAGTTTCCGTGATCTGGCTCAGCCAGCAAGTGGCCAAAAACTGCACATCCTGGAAAAGCTTAACTTCCCCCCCCGCCCGTTTTTGTCATTCATGCCCATTCCTTGGACCCTCATCCCTGTGAACTCCCCATCCCCACCAAAGAGAGCAAGCAACCCTGTGGTCCTGTGGACCGCCTAGTCCGGGAGAGCGTGGAGGTAATATGTCATTCAGTACAAGGCAAAAAGGACATCAATACTGTGAGTTAGGTTTCCCAAAGGGAACAATTCAAGGAGATGGGCCAGTTAGCCTATCTGCAGATAAAGACAACCAATGCACCAAGGTGTCCCCTGGTCAAGTCAGAATCAGACCCAGCCATCTTTCTTTACATCTTACGACAGACCAGCCTCCAGCCTTGGTGAGGTATCTACTTGTAGCCCTGGGGACCCTGTTTCTGTTTAGCCCTCAGGGACCACTCAGAGCCTCAAATCAGCCAAGGAGAAATGAATGCAGGACTTGTAGAGGGATGCAGGTTAAGCTGCACATAACTTAGAACTGCAGGCTGTAAACGGAGCTGGTCTTTGGGGAATTAGAGTGAAATGGTGATGAGAGGTCCCGGGCTCCCAGAGTGGGCCTTTGAACTTCTCTTCTCTGCAACCTCTCAACGTTCTGTATTCTAGCTGCATTGGGGGCAGGCGGGGTAAAGAGGAGAATGAGCTAATACAGACTTTCTTCTACTGTGTGCCCAGCTCAGAGGGCATCTAACACTAAGCCCCCAGGGCTTAAAAGCTTAACTTTTCACCTCTACCACCGTGCCAATGAGTGCCAAGATCAGCAGTGACACTCAGGCTCTGGGTCAAAGTCACAACACCACCACTGAGTTCCACGTGACCATTCACATACACAGTAGACACAGAGACCCAAAGGCGCGCAAAGACACACACATGTGGGTAAACAGCTGTCGCTATGGCTGTTCCCTCTCTGCGTACAAAACACTGTGACATCACCATCTGAACTAGCATTTTCATAAGTTAACATTTAAAGGAACCAGCCAGTCCCACTCACCCGACTTCATTTGCCTGGGTTCAAGACAAATGAAATTGTGAGTGGCCACAGCAGCAAAAATAGCGAGACAGTTTCCCACTGATATGCAACGGTCGGGGCAGACTGGCAGGGTCTATAATGTATTTCTAGGGCACAGACGATCTGTAGGCATTTTAACACAAAGTCAAGATTTGGATCTTGAGGACAATCTTTTCTTTCACACAGTTTCATTCTGTTCTTCATACCTCCCTTTCAGGAGTCATCTAGGGTCTGATTTTCCCCAGGTAGCAGGATTCATCCCGCTGTGGGTCAGCGGTGGGTAGGGGAGCTGGGAATGGAGTCACAGGGGTGAGAGAAGGCGGAATTCCTTAACTTGTGAGACAGTCGTCATTCCTACCCAGAGGGAAAATAGGTTTGTCTTCATTTTTTTTTCAAGGCACTTAATAAAAAACATATAAACTGCTGTGTGTATGTGTGTGTGTGTGTGTGTGTGTGTGTGTGTGCATGCACGCGCGTGTGTGTCTGTATTCATGGCACATACGTGTACAAATAAGAACTGGTCTTCCTGAGGTTGAAGCAGTGTGGTGACGACTTGATGCACAACACTTGTGGACTTGTGGGTAGCAGTGACTCATGATGCCACTGTGCTCACAGCCCTGCCAGGATGGAGTCTCCCCACAAGAAATCAGTGCCATCAACCTAGCAAGGAGACCGAGTCGACAAAATGTCTCTGTCAGCATTGCTCAGTCTTCCCAAAACAGCTGGGTTCTTGTTCCTCCTCCTTTGCTCTTCTTTCCATCTAGTGGTCAGAAGGAAACACACTGACAGCTTGACTTCCCACCCCGCTCCGAGACCAGAGAGTAGAGAAAAACCTTTCTCCTTCTCTCAACTCTGTGTGTGTGTGTGCTGTGTGTGTGTGTGTGGGTGCGCGTGTGCATGCTGTGTGCATATGTGAATATACGTATATGTTGTAGAAGAACAAATAGGAAAAAGAAAAGGCAAAGCCACCAGCAGAGGCCCCACAAAGGGACACCCCACAGTCACAAACTCTGGGTTTAGATTAACGAATGGCCCCAGTCATCAAAGCATTTTAAGGCTTGTCTGTGTCTGACCATAGAGGTGTGTCTATGGACTCTGGCATGTGAAGTTTCTGTTCTGGTTTATTTTAAATTGTATATAAGAAAGAATTATTCAGGCTGACCCTAAAATGGCAATCTTCCCCTGGATTAAAAAAAGCTAAAGGCAATAACATCCTACTTCAATATGCTAGGACTGGAAATGGCAGCTCCTTGGGTTGGCTGGCAGAATCCGAACACAGCCCAACAAGTCTCTTCAACTGTGAGACCATCTGAGGGTGAGCTAAGCTGGATGGCTTTTGTTTAAGTTTTGTTTCTCAAGATGGAAGGGCGGGAAAGACCTTTCGCTTTTCAAGTGTTGATCAGAGAGAGGAGGGGATCCCAACCCTCTCTCCACGTCCCCACTGGATAACTCATTCTCTTCTGCCTCTTTGAGTTGCTCACAGACCAAAAAGATAAAATGTAACAATGCAATCATAATCATAACGAACCCACAAATGAATAGAACTGTGACTCCAAAGAGATACGTTCCTGTCCATCCCCACAGAGGACGCAGCCCGATTCCTGTCATTAACTTGGCCACCACAGTCCCTGGTGGGCGACAATCTCCCTCCTGGCTGCATCTCACTCTCTCCCTAGACTGTCCTGTCCATACCTTCAGTATTCTGGATCAGTTTGATTGAGATTTTATGGCATTCAGTTTCCAAGGGGGAAAAAAATGTATTCTTCGCTAGCTCCTCTCACTGCAGTGAAGGGTCAGACGCGGCTCAGGTGCAACCAGTCACGCCTCTGAGCAGCACTTCTGCTGGTTCATCTTGACCTTGTGCTTGAGGCCGTCGTAGAGCTCAAAGTTGTAATTCTCCAGTGTGGTGCAGCTGCGTGAGCTGAGGCCCGAGTAGGAGCAGGTGCAGTAGAGCAGGAGCCCCGCGCAGGTGGCCCCGAGCAGGACGCCCAGCGAGCTCATGGCGATGATGGTGATGAGGATGGGGTCCAGTGTGTACAGCCAGCTCTTTTCTTTGCCAGATGAAGGGCCACCAGCCCCCGAGGTAGGGGAAGAAGAGTTGCTCCAGTCTCCCTCATACTCATCTATGGCACGAAACACACAAGACTGTAGGCATGGAGACATCATAACTGAGGTTCCCCAAACCCGAGTCCCTTTGGGGCTTAACAGTGAGCAGCAGACACTTGGGAAGCTTCTATGTCCTAGCTGTATCTTTTGGGACCTGTAACCTAATCTTTTCCTGGCTCCATTCTCTCATCTATAAAATGGAGACATTAATAAAACAATCTTCTGGGTTGTTAGGAGGATTTAGTGAACCAATAATTGCCAAGTGCTTGCAGCCTGGCACATGGTAAGTACAGCCTCACTCTATTTATCTGTCTGTCTGTCTGTCTATCTATATGTATCTATCTATCTGTATGTATGTATCTATGTACATGTATGTATGTATGTATCTGTCTGTCTGTATCTATCTATATGTATGTATGTATCATCTATCTATCTATCTATCTATCTATCTATCTATCATCTATCTATCTACCTATCTATGTGTATGTATGTATATATGCTTGTATTTATCTATGTGTATGTATGTATGTATCTGTCTGTCTGTATCTATCTATCTATCTATCTATCTATCATCTATCTATCTATCTACCTATGTGTATGTATGTATATATGTTTGTATTTATCTATCTATGTGTATGTATGTATCTGTCTGTCTGTCTGTCTGTCTGTATCTATCTATCTATCTATCTATCATCTATCTATCTATCTATCTACCTATGTGTATGTATGTATGTATGTTTGTATTTATCTATCTATGTGTATGTATGTATCTATCTATCCACGTATATGTATATATATTTGTATGTATGCATCTATCATCTATGTGTATGTATGTATGTTTGTGTCTGTCTGTCTGTCTATGGATCTATCTACCTATCTATCTTTCTATGGTATCATTGTATTTATTTATAAAGGGCACCCCAGGCTGGCCTTGAACTTGCCTCTACTTCATGAGTGGTGAGATTACAGGCATGCAGCACCACACCCAGTTTTATGTATGTTAGGGATCAAACTCAGGGTTTCACACAGCTAGGAAAGTTCTTTGTCAGCTGAGCTACAGTCCCAGCTCCTACATATTTGATCTTTAAGGACTGGTGATATAATTGGTGATAAGAGTACTTGCCTAAGATGCATGAGGTCCTAAATTCAATCCCTGATGCTACAGAAGAAAGAAAGAAATAGATACATAGCCAATGTTTAAGTAAACTGACTCCATTACTTAGTTCAGGTTTTTCTGGTGACAGTCAAACCCAGGGCGCCATGCACACTAGGCAGGTGTGCCACCACTCGGCTATCATCTATGTGTCTCCAGCACTCAGGGTTTAGCAGACCCCTTGGGGGACAGTGCAGTGCCCAGGATGGGTCCTGTGCTCACTTCTTTGTGCTATCCCAAACCTCACTTCCAACGGCCTCAGGTTAAACCAAAGCACAGCCTGAGACTCTTTTTATATCACGAGTTTCTCCACTTAGCATTCCTGGCCATATAAGTAGCACATTTCCTTTCTAACCCTCAGTCCTCCCTTGACAGCTATACTCGATTGGTACAAGTTAAACTGGCTTACTGTTCATGTTTAAGTTCAAACCCTTAGCACTTTATTAGGATGCTATCTTACTGGGAGTCAAGGTCTTTGCTGAGGCAACAAGAAGAGGCCATTAGGTTGAGCCCTAACCCAATCTGACTGGTACTTCACAGAAAGGAGGAATGTAGACATGAGCAAAACCAAGGAGAGAGAGAGAGAGAGAGAAAGGAGGGGGAACCTCTCGGCTTTCAGAAAGAACCAGCCTTGTCCTTCACCCAGGACAAGCCTCCAAAGTGGGAAGAAAATAGGTGAATACTCAGTTATATTGCTATCAACTCAGGAAAAGACATCCTCTTACGTCTAGTGTAGGAACAATGCATGACTGTGTGCAGGACCCACCTCCTCAGGGTCCCCTAAAAAGTCCACGAGGGAAGGAGAGAGGCACTACATTTTTGTTAGTAGGTGTTGCAACCGAGGTTTAAAGGACCTGAGTGACCAGGTAATTTGCCACAGAGCAGTTAAAGGGCCAGGAGACAGCTCCCTGCACACCCCTCCTCTCGTTTTGCACGTTAGCGCTTCTTGACTATCTACTGCAGGCTCCCATGTCGGCCACTTGTGCTCTTTTGCCCATAAAAGGAGAGTTGGAGTGGTTTGTGCAGGGAGCTCCTGCAGTCAGCTGACAAGGTGCTTTGTATTTGTCACTTCAGTTTCTATAACTACGCTTGACGTTTCTGACTAAGGTCAGGTTAAAAACAACTGCTCTAGAAACTTCTAAATGTTCAGTCTTGACCTGAAGTTGTTCTGTGAGTGTGGGGGCTCTCAGTGGTCAGACTTGGAGCTCACAAAAGTCCCGGAGAACCTCACTACTGAGTTCAAGGTAGAAATCACATCTATGTGTTCACCTCCCCTTCCCCAGGACTCGAATTAGCCTCTAGAAGTATGTGCATTTGAAATGCCAAAATAGAGCTTGGAATAAGTGTGAAAAAATGAGGTGGCCAGTGTGAACCAAACCCTTAAGCCTTCAATAAGCAAGGCCTGGTGTCTTGGACAGTAGGACAAAGATTCCCTGTAGGTGGTGGAATGCACTGCCCATGCTAGCTGGAGACGTTCACAGTCAGATAACTCACTCAGGCCTCTCTGTGGAGGATGTCATTGGGGTCAAGCAGTGACAGCAAAGAGGAGCTCACTTTACACCACCAAAGGGTTTATCCAGATTTGAAGTTCACAGACAAAGAAAGTTGCCTGAAACGGGGGGCCTGTTTTGGATTAGGACAAGAAACTTTCTAAACCTGGAGATTTGACCTAGACAAAGTAGTTAGTGGTTTCTTTGTTCTCCTCTGGGCTCCTTCCACTTACATTTCTGACTGATAGTTCGAAACTCTGGTCTCCTAATAGCCAGAACATTATTTTTTATTCATGTTTTTAACAAAAGTTGAGTTTCATGATTATCTGTTAAATCACAGTGATACCCACCATCAATTCCATCTTCATAGCCTTCTCCCCCATGGAGTTCTGGGATGTCCACTATTAAAATAAAGGAAAAAGGAAAAAAAACACACCAAATTATCAGAAGTTCTGTCATTGCAACCAAAAGGCAAAGACTCAACCATTTTTGAGCCTGGTTCCCCATTATGGTGGGCTTCTAGAGAATCCCACACGTTTAGGTCATTAGCATGCATGTCGCTGGAGTATTTCTCCTGCAAAAGAGCTTTCTTCCTACGATACCGAGGAAAACAAACTAAGAAAGGCCACATCTTCAGTAATAAGCAACCTCCATTCCTTGTGTTTTCATAACTGTCCTTCATTACTAGTTGAGGTTTGGGTTTCAGTAAGGCCCCTTGACTTCTATGTGTATCCCCAGCCACCATTACAATGACAAAAACTTAACACAGCAAACTGAATCTCCCCACGTGCAGGAATCTAAGTAGACATAAAGGGCTAGAGTCGTGGATTCGGTGACTACAGGGCAGCTGAAGGAGGCCATGCTTTATCATCAGATGCCTTAATGTAAGAGAACTGGAAAGACTGCCTTGATGTCTTCTTCCCTTCTGTCTGTGCTGCTATTTCTTACCTTCCCCATCCCAGGCTATTTTTATGTTTTGTTTGTTTGCAGCTTAGGCTAGATCAAACATGGGCTCCCAACCTAACTAGTTCAGGCTTGAATATAGCTACTAAATTCATTTACTCTGAAATTTCCAGTATTATCAATGCCTATCTTTTTCTTTTATATGATAATTTGAGGGTGTTTTATGCACAACACTGTCCAATTTACAGAAATCTGAACCAAAGAAAATTACCTGTCTAAAATGTTAAACCATTTAAAAAGAGATTCAAATATGTGATAGTAAACAGAGTCTTTTCATTTCTGCACAATGAAATTCTCAAGCTAATTAGGACACTCAAAACCTCAAACAGCTGAAGTAACAAGGAGAAGAAAGAACTTTAGACCACACACAATGTCTTGCTCGTCAGCATTTGTGTATCGGGGACCATCACCTTGACCATGAGCTGAACTGAGAGATCTATCACTGTCACTCTTTAAAAAAATTTACTCATTTTCAATCATATTAAAAGTCTCCTTCCCTCCTGGCCAAGTGCTAAAGCACGTCCACATCCCCGCAGCCTCTCGAGAAGGCCGCACGAAACAACCTGCCAAGATCCACTCAAAGGACCACTGCCATGTGGCACAAGTCCTCCACGACTCCAGCCCAGCCCTGGCATGCTTTAGCATAGCAACTGGCACCTGCAGGCCACGCCAGCCTTCCTACCTTGATGCCCACCCCCTGCATTATCCTCCAGGCCCCCACAAAGCAGACTGTTTCTTTGAAACGAAGATGTGAACATGATTCTACAAGAGGCAGGTGGCGTCTGCCACAGGGATCACGCTGAGCTTGGGAAAATCAACCCAGACTTTTCTAAAAATAGGATTATATGTATTTTAAAAAATAAGAACCTGGAAAAAGCTCACATTTCTGACAATTAATTAGTTTGATGGGGTACTCAAATGTCTTAGCATCTTCAAGGCTAGAAGATACAGACTACTGTATATATGTAGTATGCGAGTCAGACTAGGGCAAGAACCATGGTCTCTTAATAGTGACCTCTGGGTGAAACCCTGCACTTGCTTTAGGTATTTGGTCTTTATCAAATACAAGAAAATTTCTCAGAGGCTGGAGTGTCCCCTTGCTCCATCTCACACCCCAGAGAAGAAGACCGAGGTCACCACTGATCACAGACTAGAGAGGGATTGCTGTGGCATTGATCTTGAGAGGAAAGGGGCAAATGGATGGTGGTGGCTGTGGGAACATTTTTTTCTAGGCCTGCTGACTCTAGAGGCAGTGGACTTGACAAGATGGCTTCCTAAGAATTGGCCCATTGCTAAGTTTCAGTGGAATTGATTGCTCAGGCCCAGTTGAGATTCTGCACCTGGACAATCAAAGGCCACTTAAGGTAAGGAACACTTCAGTGGCTCCGGTCCGCTCTTGGAATAAACACTGATCCCAGGAATTTGTGTGAGTGGGAAGGGGTCAAGAAAAAAATAAGTTAATCAACCTTTTCAAAAGCACATCTGTTCACTGAGCCTAAAGAGAGAATAGCACACTGGGGAAAACCCAAATAAAAGGAACATTTGTACAAAAAGCAGCTCACTTTGATAGCGATTTCTCCAGTCCCTTTGCTCGTGTTCTTGATATCTGTATTTGATTAAGAGAGTTTTCTCTTGGAAGCTCCTTTGCTTTTCACTGGCCTCTTGTTTTTTCAATTGAGCCCACAAGATAAGCCTAAGGATTCTTTCATTTGTTTGTTTGTTTCTTTCTTTTTAAGATGCAGGCAAGAAGGTGGTTGATACATGGGCGGGGGGTTCTGGAGTTCTGGCAAAGACAAGTAAGAAAGGGAGGGGCAGTTGCCACCACAAAGTCCAGAAGGAGGGGTCCTGGCTCCCTCATGAGACAGGAAGAGGGATGATTTGGAGTTCCAGGCAGGGAGCGAGGTGGCAGCTGTGTGGGAGGGGGAAATGCCAGCCTGAAGATGCTGTGCCAGCTGGGGAACTGAGGACAGGTTGGGGATGACAAGTATTTAGAATTCATCCGCAGTGGGGGCAACACTTGGAGAGGATGATGATTCAAAATTGTGTTAGTGGTGAGGTGTCTGTGCGTGTGAGTGAGGCTGGGGAGTGAAATGAGCTGACCTCACAGCAGCACAGGCCAGGAAGAGACCGCAACACCCACAGGACTTCCACTTGCAACCTTTGTGCTCCCATCGTCCCTGTGTGAATTCAGTCTCAGGCCAGTCTGACTACAAAGCCTGATTACTGACTCTCAAGGCCAAATGCGATGGCTCCCCTGCCCCCTTGGTTACTCAGACTGTACTGGACTCAGTGGGCTGCTGAGATTTTTTTCAGTTTCATTGGGAATGCAGGACATTGCACTACAACCACATCTCCATTACGCCATCCTTACGTGTGTGGTGTCTGTGTGTGTGTGTGTGTGTAAGAGAGAGAGAGAAATGTGTGGTGTGTGTGGTGTATGTGTGTATGTGTTGTGTGTGGTATGTGTGTGGTATGTGTGTGTGGTGTGGGGTGTGGTCTGTGTGGTATGTGTGTGATGTGTATGGTGTGTGTGGTGTGTGTGGTGTGTGTGATGTGGGGGGTGTGTGTGGTATGTGTGTGGTGTCTGTGGTGTGGGGTATGTGTATGTGGTGTGTGTGTGTGGTGTGTGTGTGTGGTGTGTGTGTGTGTTTGTGGTGTGTGTGGTGTGGGGTGTGGTCTGTGTGGTGTGTGTGTGTGTGTGATGTGTGTGGTGGTGGTGGTGGTGTGTGTGTGTGTGTGCGCGCGCACACACACAGGGAAGCAAAAAGACAACCTCAAATATTGTCCTCAGATGCTATTTATCCACCTTACTTTTTTGTTTCTGTTTTTTCAGACAATTGGCCTAGAACTTGCCAATTCAGCAAGCCTGGCTGGCCAGTGAGCCCTATGGCTGGCCAGTGAGCCCCAGAGATCTGCCGCTACCCATCCAGGTGGCAGGATGGGCATTCTCTACCACTTGACTGGATCACTGACTCACTTTGCCGGTAGCTTCTAAAGACTTCTTATTTGTGACCTGAAGTTTGGAGTTTCAGGATTTCCCTGGTAGGCATCACCTAGAAAGGGGAGGCTGCACCACATCATGCTTCAAAGCAGTCTTGACTAACCAGTTAAGCAACCATCATTTATAAAGAGGGTGTACTTGGCGTCCAGAGAACACAATGGAATTTGGGTAATACAGGTGCATAGAATTGGGTGTCTACCATTAAGACTCCTCAGTACAGCTGGGAAACCAAGACTCTTAGCCCCAGAACAGCATAGGGGAAAATAAAGCACCTATAAAGGGGACTCCACAGTGCAGCTGGAGTCCAGGGAGGGAATTAGGCAAATAAAGTTGGGCAACTGTCAGCAAGGAAGATGCAGGAATAGGAAAGGGGATACTTCAGCATTCTGGCTACTGCGAGGTGGGCTTGGGGACATTCTATGCTGGGCTTGGGGACATTCTTCTATTCCCCATCTGTTCGACTGTCAGGATCGGCAGCTGAGCCTTTTCTCCACACCCTCGTCTCTTGGCTTTTTGGCCTGTATCCCCTGTGACTCACAAATATCCTACCGTGTCTTCCTCTACCAGTGAGGCAGACACCTGCCTGCCGTCAGCTGCTGAAGACCAGGGCAGTGAGTGGCTGAGATGAGCTCAGATGCCTGAAAGGGGTTAGCCATAGCTTGAACCATCGAGCCAGCAGAGTTGCCACCATCCCAAAATGAAAACCAGTAACTAACAAAACCCTGGCCACTTTCATGAGGAAATGGTAATCTGAGGCCCAAGAGTCACCTTGTTCCCTCAGGTGTCCCTTTCTTTTTGCAGGATCAAGAGACAGTAAGCAGAAGAGTGTCTCAAGTTGTTGCCTATGTCCTGCTATGCTGTGTTTTCGGAATGAGAGACACAGAGTCTAGTCACTAGAACCTCTCTGGACTTCTCCGTAACTCCCTCACCCTAGAAGCGTCAACATGGTGGTGTCCTGGTCAGCAGATCATACCACTGTAGCACAAAGGTGAGTATCCACGCCTACTCACTAATGCAAAGTGCTTCTCCCCTAAGGGGCCTGGAATACTGCCTGGTACTGTCGGACCACACACGCTAGTCAGGGGAAACACCCCTCGACACGCCAACCTGCAGCTGGGAAACCCCAGCAACCTCACTTTTCAGCTCTCAGATGGAATTCTTGCTCTTGCTTTCTTCCTATCCCTGGCCCCTCCCCTCTCTGCAGTTTCTGTCAGGAGATTCTCAGTCTACACTCTCAGCACTTGGTATGCTGTGGTCTACTGTGAGTGTGCCGGCCTTGACAGTGTGCTGTGTACTCTCTGCATCGTAAGAGAACTTCACAAGCTTTCCAGGGGTATGGGCAGTCAGCTTCAAACCACTGGCTGCTTTTAAATAATTTAAGACAGCCCATCCCTGGGTCACTTGCGTGTGATCATTTCAGAACACTGATGCACACTG